ACACAAAATCTTCAAAAATTTTTAAATGAAAGTATCTCAAGACTGATTAAAGATTGTTATCCATTTCAGTTTATTCATTCAATAACTGAATGACTCTAATGATGCATTACAACCCTAAGATTCACTGAAGCTTTAGACAGGTATAGGCTCCTATGAGTCTATGTCCTACACAGCATTCCTGCCAACACGTAACTGGACCACCCTCTCTTGAAATCCTCTAGGGAAAGAGAAGTTAGTCCTCACGGAATAACACATTCCAAATCTTTGGGAAATGAAATAACCAATTCAAGCAAGGATCATCACTGGATGCTAAGGACCATCAGGTAGAAATTATCAAGGAAGATGATATTTGCATGGTGCCCAAATATCCCCCACAGATGACTGGGGAAATGAGATGCCTGGGTGTCACCACCTTAATTGAGTGATGAAACAGCACTTCGTATTGTGGAGCGGACTGGACTTTCAATCATGCCCCCCATGTGATGCAATACCAAGTATACAGCACCATTTAGAAAAGTTCTTGCCCCAAATCTGAATGCAATCAAAATCGTCTAATTTTGGGATACTTGGGTGGTTCAGTGGTTGAGAGTCTGCTTCAGCTCAGGTCATGATCCTGGAGTCCTGGGATCAAGTCCTATATCCGGCTACCAGTGGGGAGCCTGCTTCCCCCTCTGCCTATGTCTCTGTCTCACTGTTTCTCATGAATAAATAAAATCTTCAAAAAAAAAAATCCTCTAACTTCCAGTTTACAGGAAATACAAGTGATAGAAGAAGAAATTCTATTTCCTCACCACCATGAGGAAAAAAAACATCCAGAATGTGAGATATTGTTCAAGATAACAGGCCTCCTTTCTTCAAGCAGTCAATGTCACAGGGAAAACAGAGCAGGGGAACTGTTCCAGAATAAAAGAGAACAAAATACATAATAACCAAATGCAACACATGAATCTTGATTAGCACCTGCCTTGTGTTTTGTGCTTCAAGCTATAAAAGATATTTGGGAATAGAAAAATTTATTGAGACTGCATATTAAATAATTAGAAAGTTTTTTCAATTGTCTTAGATATAATAATGATATTTTAGTCAAATTAGGAGAGGGGGGAGAGAAAAAACAAATATGACAAAAGGTTAAGTGCTAACTCTAAGTGGTGAGCGTACCAGTGACAATTACACAATTCTCTGAACTATTTCTTCACGAGAAAAGCTTGATAAGCCTTTTTTTCAATAAAGTAATCTTCATCTGCTTCCACTTGTATTCATCTAATCATCCTAATTCCACCTGCTTCCTCTTGGCTTTTGTGAGCACACATCCTCCAATGTTTGTTGTTCTCTTTCCTGGGGCTCTGGCTATACCAATGCAGTCCCTTTGCTGGCTCCTCTACTGATCATTCAAAGTTAGAACTTCACAGAGCTCAACCTTGACCCTCTCCTCTCTCCTGCTCTTCATTTCTCTACTTCCTTGGCTTCTGTTTGCTGCTAGAACACCAAAGACTCTCAAATGTATGTCTTCTGGCTAGACTGGTGATCTGAGGTAAATGGATCTGAATGCTGGTGGGAAAAAGAAAAACAATAACAAGAAAAAAAAAAAAAAAGCTTTCTTACCTAAAGCACTGAATTTCATGGGAAAACCAAGATCTGAAATGACCTACTAAGTCAGAGCATGTTCTCCTCTTATAAAATGCCCACAATCTCAGTTTGAAGGGAAAATGTTAATGTGGTGCAAATCTAATAAACTCCTGCCCAATTAAAAATGCTTATAGAAAAAAGATGCTTGTAGAGTGATTGTTCCAAGTAATTGAAGGTTTTCGTTAAATCAAGTTTCGACCACTTCTAAAAATACATTACCACATAGCTCTACTTCGTATACACAATGTGCAGGGCATAATTTCTGATTTTTTTTATTCCTAAATTTAAAGCACCTTCATGTCAAAAACCATAAATATCTGTATACTGAGTGTACTTGAGATTTGGATTATACCAAAAATCTACATAACATAAGCAACTGAGTTGAGTCTGTATTGCCTCCGCACTCACTTGGAATTTACAAATTTAACATCCGACTATCCATCTATTTCTTTAAAAAAAAAAATCTCTTTCACACAAACGTAAACCTGTCAGGGTAGACCCAATACTAAGCATCTAGTTCCCTACAGAAGAGTGAGACTTCATAAATCATTTGAGGCCGAGAAGTAAACATCTAATGGGCAGAGATGTGGAAAAATACATCCAACTCAAGCTTCAAGAGCCAATGCTGCAACTTTTTAAGAGATCTTACCTGTCACCAAGCCTCCTACTGGTTTTAAGGAAAGCTCTGGAATAATATGTGGTTTTCTGTGGTGTTTCTAAGGAATTAAGGCAAGTATCTGCTTTTTGCCAAGAAGAGTGAAAAAAAGAACAAGCCTCAAAAAAAAGTAGAAACACAGAGAACTGTAGTTGGCCCTCATTACACTCAGGTTAACTCTTTTTCACACCTGAACTCCAGAACTCACAGAGGTGGCTCTTATACTGTGGTATCAGTTTCTCTGTCAATACAGGATTCCTTTGGCATCTGTGTCTACCTGCATGACATATTAGAGCATTTCTTCTAAGCCTGGGTGTCTGTCTACAACCAGGCACATGCTCATCACTTGTGGGTCTCTCGACGGGGAAGCATGACTCCTGTAAGTTATGACTAGTGCAGGTAATGCCTTTCCTTAACCAGATTCTTTGCTCATTTATGTGAAGATTTCAGAAGTGAATGAAAACCATTACTCTTGATTACTTTGTGTACCAATTCACTAATTATAATCAATATGTAACCAGTACATATTTCCAAGTGATTTCTGCTTTGCCTAACAACGGTCATATTTAAAGATCAGGTAATTATAAAAATTTGCCCAGATCACAGAAGGTGATTCCCCAACTAAGATGGACACTGTTTTGCTGAATGGCTAGGCAGATTCTAGAAAATAAATCAAACAAATTTACACCAAAAAAAAAATGTATTTATCAAGATAAAGACAATGGTTTTGTTTCATCTTCCCAAATTCCCTCCCCTGTTTTGTTTTTTTAAGTGTAAAGCCTTTCAGAGGTGGCACAGGTTAGATCAGAAAGTTCTGAAATCTTCATCCATGTGAAAGAGGTACTTCATTGGTGTTTCTGAAAGCTCAGGTTTGCAATTAGCTAATATTAACAGAACAAAGAAATAACTGAACCTCAACCAATGAGTCAGAGAAATCAAACTTCTGGTGTCGAAACAATAACAATTTAATGGACAAAATATTATCACAGTGAATAAAATAGTGAATGAAGCATTGTCCTGTTTTCATTCAACAGCATTAAGAGTTTTTTTGTTGTCTTACATTTAAAACTCTTTAAAAACAAATTAATTTACTGGCAACTAAAAAAAAATATCACAATTTACAAATAAACACAAATTTAGCACTGCAGACATTATACAAATAAGCAAAATGCACAGTACCCACACCCAGAGCTTTCTAGAAACCTCATCATATAACTCACCCATTTATTTGATGTTACATGTCAGACAAAATGAACATTTTGTAAAAACCTTATAAATATATAAATCCAAATCACAAAACACCTCCTAAACATTTTGTTTACTCTAAGTACAATGGATTTTTGGAAACTGCATTCACAATGCTATCTAACCTAGATTTTATGAAATTATAAATGTCTTTATCTATAACTTGGGGCTTAAATTCATTGGACCACACCCCACATATGCTTTCTCATCATACTCACCATGGGTGTATATATTCTCAAAGTCAGGAGTTATGCGATTAAAATCAAACTACTAATCTAAAAATAAGTGTCAATTCTTCCTGAATAAGGAAATCCAACTGGTCCACTGCAACCATGTCACACAACAAATGTTTCATCACAAACAAGTGGAAGTCATCTTAGTATTGCCCTTTCCTAAGAGTAATAAATATTTTAATGTTAATCGTCAGTAATGGGTCTTAGAAACTGAAACGCCTTTTTTTTTTTTTTTGGCCCAGTTTCTGTGAACATTCTATTCCCTCAAACCTAAAATCTGCTAAACAATTTCTTCTCATAAATATATACATTCAACTTCTCCTACATCACGAAAAGAAGTTCATTAACTCAAGTCACATAGTGTATGCTTTTATTTGAAATAAATTATGTAAGAACATGAATCCATTCTAAAATGGACTTTAACGCAAGAGGCACAGCAACACATCACGTTGCTCTCTGCACCTGCATTTTACTGCCCTGGGGGGTCCTCTCCAGCAGGCATTGGCGCTGTGTGTCTCTTGCCCATCTCTCTCTCTGGCTTACTGCAACCCTGTTTTGCACATAAGCCCAAACCATTGTGTTTTGGTCCAACTTAGTACAGTACAGCAAAAATACTTCAAATGGCGAGCCAGAACATCCCAATAATTGTTTCTGGGTTTCCACGGCCACAATTCACCCCAAACTGTTATAGGATTAAGTTAAACAAGTCCATCATAGAATCTGAAATACAATGGGGGAAAGAATCCTCGTGTGCTTCCAACAACTAACTGAAGTGGAACTGCATTCAGGGTAAGCCGTGGGGCTCGTTGAACAATGTGGTTAACAAAACTCAGTTGAAACGTTTCAGGGCAAGACTCAAGATTTATTTCTGTGAACAGTAACTGCTCTGTGAGAATTTCAGAGAAGATGGAGGAGAGAGGAAAATAAATATGGAGGAGATGGTTTCAAAGACAGGTGGCCATATTCTATCATGACGTTTGCTTCCATGCAAATTCCACTCTCTAGTAATGTGGCAAAATGGGTATTTAATGGAAACCACACAAGGGCAGGAGGCAGTTTCCTCTTGGTGAAGGAGTATATGCAGAGGGAAGAAGCACCTCACTGGAGCAGCAGACCACAGACAGTGGCATTAACTTGAGAACACATGAAGAGGACTCCAGGAAATATAACAATGGAGGGGTGTGGGAGGGCTGTGAGGGGGTGGGGAAGGGGGATGCGGGAGGGGTGGGAGGAGGATATGGGAGGAGTGTAAAGAAGAATTGTGTAGGAGGGGGATGCGGGAGGGGTGTTGGAGGGGGATATAGGAGGGGGCATGGGGTGGGGGAAGTCACACCTTTCAAGTGGATGTGTCTTGGAACAGTTTTCCTCTCGTGTCCACCATCCATCAGAGATTCCCGAGGATTAAGAGAGGAGTTAGTTCATCCCTGGCGTTCCACAAAGACCCCAACTACTGCCTAACACACTGCACCTCTGGTGCCTGTCTAGCAGGGCTGAGTGAAATCCCACCCTTTCTGTGGGAAGACTCACAAAAAGATCTTTATGAAGGCTTACCTTAAACATTTTTGCGTCTCGAACACCTAAGTAGAAATGAACATTTTTGATGCCCAGCACACAGGAAAACCAACTGAGTCAAAATTTTTATAGAAAACAGACCACAAACATTTGGCCAGTGGCTTGTTAACATCACAGACACTAATCAGAGAGAATATAAAATAAATAAACGATAAATTACCTAACTTTAAAGATGGCAATGTGTGTCAAATTTCTTAGTCTGCATATCGATTAAGAAGAAGGTGCCATACAGTCTAGAAATTCATGACAAACACACTGGCAAAAACCATACACCATGAGAATAACAAGGCTCGAAGGGACGAGGCTGACAAAGACAACCCCGAGGGTGACCTTCTTAGACACCAGTAAGTAGATGCCTAAAGGTAAGGAGCTGAAGTAGAGCAAACCTAGCAGCCAAACCAACACGCGGATAGACGTCTGAAAGAGCAGGGATGTGCAGTTCCACACAGTCCAGTTGTGTGACACAGTGGTAACAGAGTCGAAGCTTGCGGGCCTGTAAAATTCTACCACAGGAGTGGAGCTCAGAGATGGGGAGCTCTCTCGCTGCACCTCCATGATGGTTATGACCAGGCAGTTGGAGGAAGCATGTGAAGGACTTACGAGAGATGCCAGCCTCTTGGGAGTCAGCAGCAGCTCAGTAGGGTTCTCTGGCAGGCACTTCTTGCCTCTGCCTCCACAAGTCAAGTTTACCAGGATGTTGTTGTCGTCCGGCAGGCTGCTGACTTCATCATCTGGCAGGCATGTCTCGAACCTGCAGAAAGGACAGACGATGACGCCTTGTGGGGAGTCCCCAAAGTCTATGATCTTGTAGAGGCATTTGGCACAAACCCGATGACAACACTCCAGCACTTTGGGTTTCCTCTGCTTCAGGTTGTACCGATTATAACAGATCTTACACTCAAGCTCGTCAGAGACCTGAGCCTCTGATGTGTCTTCTGGCGGCTGACTGGCCATCTTGAACCGTGCGTACTACCTCCAGCCAGAGGCCACTCGCTGACAACGGGTCGATTAAGGCGTCCCTCTGAACATCACCTCATCCGAATCAGGCGATGATGCAAAAAGGCAGGGCATGTAGCAACAGAAACCAGGAATCTTCCAGGCATTTTCAGCTTCTACATTCACTCTGTCGCAAACACACATTTACAAAGGCCACATGAGAGGTCTGCAAAGGAAAAAAGAGATTCTAATATAGTGAACAGTTCACTGAAGAGTGCTTCATGGAATGTTCTGAGCTTCAGTGGGTAGAAGCAATAGGTTTCAAGGTTAGAGCCCCAAAACAGGAAAGTGCTTAGCTTTCTCAGGCCATACATATGATAGTACAGGAGGAATGAAGACTCCTATTGGTGTAAACACATTCTCACACACCATCAAGGAGTATGAAGAGATAAGGAGATTTTTCTCTCGGAAACCTGTAGCAAGTTCTGGCCTCTTTGAAAACAGAACGGGACACGTATATGAAGTAGATAAATTTGTAATCAAATTCTACTCAATATAGGCTGATTAATTCAGATTATCAACAGTGTAAATGCCAGTTATCTAAATACCCTTACTAGTGCCTAGGGACACACAAAAGAAGGAAAATCTCAAGGATAAATTCCCTCAAGGAAGAATGAAGCCAATGACACCTGACAGCAAGTCTCTCAATGAAGAGAAGTAAACACACACAACACGTGCATAGTAACATTCCCAAGCATGAAGAATTGTGTGCAGGTGGCTATCACCTACTCGCCAACTTCACGTCATGTAAACTCTTTCTATAGTGAACAGAAAGCATAATACAGCCCACAGGACATCCTGCTGGCCCTCAGGTGCTTGTCACTGGCTTTAGCCAAAAAGGTCAGGGTTGATTCCATGTGTATGGTCAGTTCCCAATTATTAGCACCAATGAAGGGGGCAGCAGTATGGGATATCTTCATTACATCTGTATATGGCTTTGACATAGGTGACTTTTTTAGTAATAGATTTGTCTTAAATGATGTTTTGCTTGGGGAAATGTCAACATGTATTTGAGTTTCTTTTTTTTTTTTTTTTAAGATTGTATCTATTCATGAGAGATACAGAGAGAGAAGCAGAGACACAGGCAGAGGGAGAAGCAGGCTTCCTGTAGGGAGCCCGTTGTGGGACTCGATCCCAGGACCCCAGGATCATGCCCTGAGCTGAAGGTAGATGCTCAACCACTGAGCCACTCAGGTGTCCCTGTATTTGAATTTCTGAGCACACCCCCACACACTGTAGTGGAAGGCTGCCACAACAGTTCTAAGAGGTAGAGAACAGCTATGCTGGAATTAACTTTGCTATGGGTCATCCTGCTTAACAGGAAAGAGGTGGTGGGTGGCTCAACTTGAATATATTTGAAATTATGAGTAGTTGGCTGTGAATACATAATACCTTCCTTTTTGTCACTTCAGCTAATTTTTTAATTGACTTCATGTAATATAAGAATGCATAATAGGTATCAATTGCAAGACATTCTTGATGGGAAAAGGAGGTCAATCAATAAATAGAATCTCTCTTGTCAACAAAAACACATAGATAGGATTTTTTTTAAAAAAAGTTTATTGTATTTGAATGTTATGTATTTCAGAACTGCTATCATAAGCCGATTTCTGTATATTCACTCTTACTCACATACAGACACAGACACCAACTCTTCTATGCCTTTCCCTTCCATGTGCCTTTAATGTTTTCTTTACTCCTGAACCTGTTCATGAAACATGTGCCCATATGGTCACAAAATGTAACTGTATCTTGCCCACAATTCTACAAAGCTGGCTTCTTATTCTCCTGGTGGATGAACATCTATCCAGGAGGGGAGTCACCATTCCCAGTCCTTGCCACCCTTAGACAACGGGCTCTGGCCCTGGGCAGGTTATTGCAGGTCCACTTCTTGGACAGCTCCCACTCATCAGGCCTCCTGGCTGCCACACGCAGACCAAAAAGACCCATCTAAATGGAACATGTTCTGTACTCTTTGCAGCTACCCTCCCACTCAGTCTTAATGTCTTCAGGTGTACTGAAACTGACAGGAAGAGCAGAATTGACAGCAGTGATTCCCTCTACTGCCATCGAGAGGACTGGTGTATATGAAGGTGTTTGGAAAAGGAAGAGATGGTATGTAAACAGACAGACATAAAGACACCCAGAAAAGAGAGAGTAAAATATTCAGTGAAGATAAAGAAGCAAAATTATATCTGAAGGCATAGAAAGCTAGAATATGCATCTAAAAACACCAACAAATGGCTTATGTGTATGTGAAAATCCAACATTTGATGATCAGCTCATCATATTAGTACTTTCTGTACCCTATTTCCAGCCATCAGAAGAGGAGTGGGAATATTCTACACTGGGCCAGCCACAATTTCTAGTTTATAGTTCTTCGAACAAAAAATCACTTGTTTGACAATATTGAGCTATTACTTGAAACAAAGCTTTCCTTTTTCTCAGAAACACACTTTCAGACCTTTGAATATGTTAAGATAATGTATAACACATTATAATAAGGTCCATATTCATAAAACTTCACATAACATGCAAAGAAAATACTGGATGTTCACATATCCAATCAAAAAGACACCTACTTTGGGGTGTCTGGGTGGCTCAGTTAGTTAAGCATCTGAGTCTATTTCTGCTCAGGTTATGATCTCGGGGTCATGGGATGGAGCTCTGAGTCAGGCTACAGGCCCAGCAGGCAGTCTGCTGGAAATTCTCTCTCCCTCTCCATGCCCTTTCCCCTCCACGCTCTCTTCATGCCCCCCTCCATGCTCTCTTTCTCTCTCTCTAAAATAAGTAAATAAGTCTTAAAAAAAAAAAAAAAAGGTACCTACTTTAATTCTAAGACTAACTCTAACAAACCAGCTCCACTAGCTTGAAATACTTCAAGTCCTGCCACTGAGAAAGGCACTTCGGGGCAGGACTGGCTGACAGCCTTGAGCTCTGGTGCATCCCTGGAAATGCAGCCAGCACAAGTGTTTCTTCCTAGAAATGTCATAAAGCAGCATGGTGATTGTTCCTCTTGGGAAGGCGGGGTACCAACTGCTCGAGTTCTTAAAAAATAAATACTTCATCTGTCTCATTGTCACTCAAAGGTCCCTCTCAAAGGACTTGATTAATAACCTAAAATCTGTAACTTCATAGGGTTGCCACAAGTCAGAGTTATTTGGTCCTCTGAAAGCTAGGCGTTCCCATCCTGCCTTTGCTCTGGACAAAAGCGGTGGACAATGATTCTGATGCAGAGTAAGGAAGCAAGACCCAAAAGAGCACATACTCTATGATTCCATTTCTGGAAAATTCAAAAAACAGGCAAAACTAAGGTGTGTGGATACAAGTTTAGGTGGTGAAACTATGATGAAAAGCTAGGGAGTTATTCACATATAAGCTGGGATCGCTGCTGCCTTTGATGGGGTGGAACAAGCAGTCTGGGGAAGACACATGCTGATGGGCTGGGGCTGATGGACTGAAGGGCTGACAGCGCTCTGCTTCCTGACCTGGATGGTACTCAGGAGTGTTTGGTGTGTGATACACCACTGGGCAATATGGTTTTCTGTGTTACCTATCACAGTAAAAAATTTTAAAAGTGTTATCTATCACAGTTAAAAACAAAAAGAGAAGGGAAAGCAAGGGTTGAAGAGAGAAGGGGAGGGGAGGGAAAGGAAAAGACATCTCTGGCTAAATATTTTAGGCATTTTTTATAGCACAGATTTTTCTGTCAATAGGTATTTTGGATCAGCTTATCATCTTTTCCTCTACGGTCTGTAATTGCATTTATTTTTTTCACAAAATAGAAATGTCAATTATTTATCACCTAAATATCCAAGCACTACTGTAAGTCAATATTAAGATGGATAAAATCTCTAAGATGAGCGCATCTGGTGCATTCGTTGATGAGAGCAACCGTCTCAGCAGGCACAGGGGAAAGAATCTGGCACATTCAAATTGCCTCAAAAATAAATGCATGTGATTACCTGAGAGGACGGATGTGCTTACTAATGTTACTGTGGTAAACATTTTGCAATATATATGGGTATCATATAATGTTGTCCACCTTCAACTTACACAATGTTGTGAGTCAATAATGTTTCAGTAAAGCTGAGGAAAAATACAAAAGGGTTTCTTTTCTTAGAAAAATACATATTCTCATATATGAAGTAGATATTCCTTATTAATCTTTTATAAAATTTTTATTTATTTATGATAGTCATACACAGAGAGAGAGAGAGAGAGAGAGAGGCAGAGACATAGGCAGATGGAGAAGCAGGCTCCATGCACCGGGAGCCCGACATGGGATTCGATCCCGGGCCTCCAGGATCGCGCCCCAGGCCAAAGGCAGGCGCTAAACCGCTGCGCCACCCAGGGATCCCTCCTTATTAATCTTAATAGACATCAGTCCTTCTGTAAATCATCCGGGGGAAGGCTACATGCATAATCACCTATTATAAATCTTGATGATATTGGACAAATGTTTACTTTCCCTGCATGGGACTTACTGTTTGATTCAAAGCCACTTGCTCTACTGCTTAATTCTTTTGATATTAAAGATGCAAACTTGGTCCTATATTTGAAGCAAAGCCCATCATTGGACATCTGTTGTTTCTGTCCACCTAGGATCTTTCTTTCCTCCTTTAGACTGAATTGGTCTGCCTTCTGCCACCACTTCTCTGGGGAAGCGCTCCCCACTCACTCAAGTCCTGTGATCGTGCTTGCACTGTCACCCGCAGTACCTCCCTTCTCTCCAAAGGTGTGATTTGTGACCCAGGTCTGGCCTATCGCACTACTCCACCATTGCCCTGCTCACAGGGAATAGCCAGGGTGGGCAAGGTACCCAGACCAGAGTCAGTGCTCTTCCCTAGGACTTTTTTAGGTGAAGCCAGGGGAGAAGGAACACAGCAGGGGCCAAGGGAGGGAGCAATGACCAGAAAATAGATGTTTCAAGGAACTGTCTTGCCCTCAAGAGGGAGAACACAAGAGAATAAAGCTAAAAATAAAAAGAGAAACACAGGAAAGCAGAAAGCAGAGATACAGACAGAGGCAAAAGACAGACACCTGATGACAGCTCCACTGACCTAAATGATGGCTCCCATGAGCCAATAAATTCCTTTTTTCACTTATGCTAATTTTTTCGTTGGATTTCTGCTTCTTACTTACAGCCCAAAGAGCCCTGAACAC